AAGGGAGCGAGACAACGAGAAAAGAAAACAAAACAAGAAACGAACGAGAGAGACCTCAATAATGACAAAGAAAATAAGAGCCGAGAATGCGAGTTCAATAAAGAATAAAGGAAGCAGCGGTTAATAAACAGAATCAAGTGAAAATTGAACATACGGGAAATCAGTGAGCTTTTCATAGAATCTCCAGGAAAGAAAGACACAAAAAAGAAAAAGAGAAGAAAAAGGCAGCTCACTGTTTGGTTGAATTTCAGCTTCTGTATTCTGTCAAATGCCACATCCACATCATCAAGTGTGAAATAACTCAAAATTTTCAACGCTGATGAGACTATTAATCCAGTCATACATGAACATCATGCCCATTTTATATACAGGAACCTGAAAATGGAGTTTTCAGAAATTATTAAGGAACTTTCCACAGAAAGCAAGCAAAACAAAGGAAAGATAAATAAAGTCGTCATATTCAAAACACGGTTGATTATATAACGAAGTATCAAGGTATTAACAAGTTAGGAACATTCAGAAATGAAGTGAGGTGCGTAGGGTGATAAGATAGTCTGAAGCCCAATATAGCATCTATACGATTTACACTGATGATGTAATAAGTTTTCATCATGGTCTCTTATTCCTATATAAAACCCAGTTATGTCAGGATTCCCCTATTTCCAGCTCATGAGCGACTTTCAGCGGTAGAGCTTGGTAATAGTTGGTGACTTCGCAAGAAAATTTAGAGATTGGCAAAGGGCCAAACAGAGAAACTGCGGGTGGAGTAAGCTGTCTACCGATGAACACATAAACTTAACAATGGTAACATGAACAACTCCAGCATAAAATTTTTTGGCACTATTCCATATTCCGTTTTATTTTTCCTCAAAACTTTGCCTATATATGTAATTCGACGCCCTGATTACGAATATGACATTTGTTTTTGAGCTGGCGCCATTGGCGCCAGATGGCGCCACCTTGTCACGATGGCTGTTTCCACGAAATTCGGTGTAATCTTATAGTATACAGGGGTGGCCAAAAAAAAGACACTTTGCCCATGGCGCACATCATCGAACTTTTCGTCGCACAGGGTGCCGATGTTAATGAAAGTTTTACGGCGAATATTCCTTAGGTGTTCCCCCGTAAACAGAAGCAGGCCCTCCTTCACTGCCCCGCCGTCTTCAGAATATGACGTCATCTGCCGCCACCGTCGAGCTCAACGAGGCTTACCATAATCTGACCTGAAGCTGCTTCATAATTTCTTCAATGCATTAACTGTTGAATAGTTTCCCAGAGACATGAACTTAAGATCATACCACAGCTTTGACGCAGCATTTCAGGAACGTAATGTTCTATGGTACCGATCGACAACCGCGGCTACCCTTGATTCTATCGCCGCAACATTTTTCCGTCGGAACAATCTCGATTCGCGGTGTATGAAAAGGCGCAATGCACCGTTTAGAATAGATTAGGTGCCTTTATCAACTTGGGAGTAGGGCAGTCCGCGTAATCCCTCAAAGTGTAATTAATGCTGTCTGAGATGTGGAGTCAAGTTCTCTTTTTTTGGCCACCCCTGTATATAGGGGTTATGCGGCATCCTTATTACGAATGACATTTATTTTTGGCGTTGACGAGGTTTGGTGCCTATCTCTTGCTCGTTTGCACTCTCTCAGGGCGCATGCATAGTCGGTCGTCCGACAGCAACGATCGTAACGATCGCACACGACAGTTACGATCGTTGCTGTTGGACGACCGACTATGCTTGCGCCCTCACTGGTTTATCGCGATCAAGACTGTGCATTTGGGGAGGGGAGGCTAAGGGTGAGCAAGCCATTCAGCCTGTGATCTCTCACAAATCATTCATCTCCGGCCATTCGATGCGCAATTTGCCCAACGCGGTGTCCCCCTCCACAACAAGCTTACACTCAGGCACTTCACCTAAGTAAGAGATCTCAGGAGAGCAGAAAATATGCATTATACAGCGCCAATTCCAAAAACGAATGTCATATTCGTAATCAGGACATCAAATAACCCCTATGCACAAGTTTACACCGAATTTGGTGAAAACAGCCGTCGTGACAAGGTGGCGCCAACTGGCGCCAAATGGCGCCAGCGCCAAAAATGAATATCATGTTCGTAATCAGGGCATTGAAATTACCTCCAAAGGCAAAGTTTGGACGAAAATTAAAATTTTGATATTTCGGAAGAGTTTTAGGGCCCCTTTTTTAGTAAAGTGGTCAATGTAAGAGCTATAGGAAGAAATTAAAATTAACAGCAATTCGAATAATATAAAAAACTAGTGAAGTGTGAAAAAATGAAATCCTTACCGTGCAATAAATCGGTGCCGTTAAATCACAGTATTTAACAAGATACGCTAAAGCGCCTAAATGAGGCTGATCAGGATGTGTAATCAGCACAGCAGAAATCTGAAAATTTCTGATCACTAGGAAAATGGAATCAAAAATAACACAGATTTTTGGAAAAAAGCTCTTACCTGAGATGCGCGAGATTTTATAGATTCTATGTAAGCCATGTCAAATTTATCGTCCCAACCACAATCCAATAATAAATAAGTTTCTTCTATCTAAAAATAACTTTGAAAGAGCAGAAGAAGATATGACGGACCTTCGCTTTGAACATGTATTGGCGTTAAACATCCCTTCGAAAGCTCATGAGACTCCGAGAGGCAATCATTTCTCACACTAATTCTTAAATTTCAGCTGTATTTTGTTGCTTAACACGTTGACGACAGCCCCTTATGCGTGTACCTCGGCAACTTTTTGTTTTTTTCACAATCGTCATAACTTCTTCAATAATTCCACTACTGGTAATTGACTGCACAGTTTTTCGGATAAGATAATGCATGCACACAGTTTTGAAATATGAAAAAGGCCAAATAAACCAAAAAAACTAGCCAGAATCGGGTGAAATTCTGACGCGCATGCGCGTCATGCTGTCGTCAACGTGTTAACGAGTCCACCGTGTCTTATATTTATACTTCTGGACAAAACGGCTACGAAATGGAATCTGCTAACCGTAAGTTGCCCAATCAGGCTTCTTGAGTTCTGATGGACTGTGAGGGGACAACATCTCGACGAGCACTATGCAAAAACAACACATGATATTGAAAGAAACTGAATACCTGTAATAAATAACATAGTGGTCCTTCATCCTTGACACCTGATAAGGGTTCAAGTTTAACTACGGAAGACATCTAAAAATATCAGTGGTAAAAAACTTAAATCAACACAGCCGTGTATCACGAGAGAAATGTATCCCAGCAGTTATGATTAGCAAAAGGATAAGAATTTGCGTCGACAAGTAATATAATATAGGGAAAAGGCGAGTTCGAGAAACTTTTCCGTCTGCTGAAACAGGAATTTTAGAGGGTAAAGTTCGTCAAAACCAATTTGAAGGAATTGTAAGCATAC